AACCTTTTATTTTAAGTAAAAGTTTATTTGTAAAACAAAGCTTGAGCACCACCTTGATCAGATTTGAAATTCATATTTATTTGAATTATAATAAATTTAATTTATTTTTTCAAAATATTAAAATGAAGTAATTTATAGGTAGGCATAATATGGGTTTCTTATGAAGCACAGATTACTTTTGATCATGGATTTAAGAAGTACATATCCTTTGGGATGTACCAATTCTACTGCATTATACTCCTGCGATGAAGGCTGTAGTACGTAATCTTCCAATTTAGAGAATATACACTTGAATATCTGAGATTGACAAAATACCAACATCTTCATACAGAGACTGCTGTTCAATACTTAATATTTTAGGTAAAATACATTCTTTAATAGCATAATGAATATGCAAAATACCAATGGAGCTCGTGTAAAAAATACCATACAGGAGTCAAAGAAACCACTAAATAATTTACATAATAGTAATTATATAGTATAAAATAGTTGTAATGGTAGTTATAATAATAGAATAATTTATACAATATTTAGATTTTAATATGTTTAAACTAATCAATCTTATAATTCCTGTATAATATTTAATGCTACAAAATAATTAAATGTGGCTGAATTAAAAATATAAATTTACCACATGTAATTGAAAATGAAATTGTCGCGTAACATGTCGAAGAAGAAGATATACCTACGCAATTTTTCTATTTTTTTTTTTTTAAGGTTTACATGTGTGCATGCTAGTGCGCATGTGTCATTATGTATGTATGAATATATGGATGGTCGTACGTACGTACGTATGTATATATACACAATATGTATATGTAATCACACGGGCTTTATTGTAAACGGAGAAATATAACGCTAGAGACATTGATATGACACGATGTCGTGCCTTGGATGCCTACTTCCTGATATGTGGGACAGGTATATGTCACCTATAATACTTGGGAACTAGTATGCTACTACTGCACCTTTGCTTATTTCGTAACGCTCTTATGCACATATTTCTTTTTCTCACAAACATTTCATTTTTTTAATCATTTAACTAAGTTTAATTTACTTATTAATCTAATAAAATCGCTATTGGAATGATTTTACTTATCCTCGGTTTACGAACGATTCAGAATTCATCAGTACATGCGCTACCGTTTATGATGTGACATAAAACGAAATTAGAAAAATATAAATATAATATTTTTGTAAAAATCGTATTGTTGTATATACTCTTCCTTCAAAATTTAATGGAAGCGCATGTAAAGAAAATTTGATCGTTCGCTAATGTGACATGAAATGACAACATAAGTCATAGCATTTCAAACGTTACAAAATAAGAAAAAAAGGTCATTGGCAGTATTATTTTAATTTGCATTTCTAACAATTAAGAATAATTGATTAATTAATTTATCGATAAAATTTTTAATCAATCAATCAATTAATCAATATAACGATATGTAATTCTACTTGCGCAGTTAATTAATTATCTAATTACAAAGACGCATTAAGTTTGTAATATCTAACGCCACAAAACGTAATTATGAGTCTTCAAAAATGTATACGCGTTTTTCTACTAAGATGTGACAATTGATTTTTTAAAAATCGATGTCTATACATAATAATATTAATAATAATTCTTAATTACATTATCAATGAATAAAGTGTATTCTCAAGCTTTTGCAAATATATACATATATAATGTGAGATATGTTTTAGTAAGATTTCTTGTTTGTTGTTTTTCACATATTTCAAATCTAATATAGGTAATTATCGACACAGATTACATTTCACTTAATACAAAGTCAAGTGTGATATACATGCAAATACATTGGATTGAGCTTGAATATCATCTTTCAGCCAGTTTACAGATTGATCTCTCATGCTTGTATTTTTTCTTAATGTTACGCATTAATCCAGAATACTGTATCGTTTACACGATTCTATCGATTATTTTTTCATAATTTTTGTACACTATGTAGCTGATGCATTAGAAAAGGACTAAAATCTTTTCATTTAAATTGCCATTTAGATTAAGAAATAACAAGATATGCAGATTTTCAAATCCTCAAAAAATTATAGCTATTTATTATTTTTGTTTAATTAATGCTAAACACTTAGAGGAATTGAAATTATTGCGCAATCTTAATAAAGCTATGTAAAGATATTTATATATTATGCTTTTTTTTTTGATACACGACATAGAAACGTGTAATTGATAAACCAAAAACTTAACCCAACTTAACCCTTCGCTTTTACAAATAAGAACTTCTGTTTAAAATATTTATTTCTAATAGTTAATGAGAATTCCCAGGCAGTCCCACAGACGATTCATGCGGGATAACCCAATTCCAATTACATAATTCTCCAAATTTGATGTACTCTTGAATCCTGATGAAAACATATCCTCTTATAGCATTGGATTGGTTAGGGGTGATGTATTACGCTTCACCTACTCTTCATGAGATTAATTGGTAAAATTTTTAGTACCATTATCTAATTTTGTTACCAATAGGGTTAGACCAGCGTAGGCTATCGTAACAATATGATTTTTTTTTAAATTAAGTTTAATATTATTAATGCAAAGATTGAGAATTTGTACATCCACAATTCCATTAAACAATTCATTCTACTTTGGTCTACTTGCAATACAGCTTACAATCACGACTTTTCTACAATTTTATAAGATAGTTATCCCTTGAAATGGCTGCATAAAGAATCATCACCTCATGTAATTTCAAATTTACGTAACACATCTAAATTATATCAAAACAAAAGTAAATGTAACTACATTCAGAATTTACAGATTTATAACTAGAACGCCATTTTAACAGTAAACTGTAACATTTCTGCCCCATTTCTAGAGGAAGCATTATTTCAGTGGAAGTTCTTTCTTTAAAGCGAACAAGATATATTATAATAAAATAATATTTTTTACTTTTTAAAAGCGAAGAGCTAAATAGTAAACTAATTATGTCAAAAATCACAAATACAACCTAATACGCGAGAATGTTCGTTGTCATGTGCAATATTTCGCGCATTAAAACGATTAAGTGTTAAAGTTTCTGTTAACGAGAGAAACATGTTCGTGCTCGTTCAATGCTTTATCTTGATTAAAATACAATTAAAATATACTCGTGCTCGCACACGCACATGTACGCGCACAAAGAGGGGGCACCCACACCCACACACACTATTTTGCAAGAGCTGTAATCAATATACGATATTGAATGTAATCAGGAGTACATTGTCGAATTGAAAAAAAATGTTTATTCACTCGTTTTCTGTTTCAAGATTACTTGAAAAATTAAACGATCAATTAATTGTACTCTACACAAGTAGTTGAAAAAACATTAATTTATTTTTAGTATATTTAAGAAATTAAATAAATAAAATTTACATTGAAATTTTTTTTTGAAAACTTTAGTTAATAATTTAATTAATTGAAAAAATCTAAATAATATATGTAATAAAACTATAAATATTTATTGATGATTAATTAAATCATAAGCTACAAAATATATTTAGTCATTTTTCAAAATGACAATAACCCCTTGATTTTTAAAAAGCAGCTCTCGTAATCACGTATATACATCTATGCATTTACTTACTGCAAAATTTTTACGCTATGTTTAACACTTTAAAAGCTATCTTACGTACTCTCACACTTGGATGATATTGATAAAAATTGTCAAGTTAACGAATTCATAACTGAATTATTTACCCAAGTAAATATTAATTTTAATATAGCATAATCCTAAAATTAGGATAAAAATATATATATATATAAGTCACAATAATCACACATAAATCGATAATTATCATAATAATGATAACGATAATATGAAAATTTGTGATGTGCAAAATCTGAAGGGAATAAGGAAAAAGTAAGATATAACGATTTTATGAAGGGTGTTGGAGGAACATAACCACAATTGGGAATGGAAACTATAGATAACGAGAAAACGTCTTCCAGCATATGGGCTCACAATTTAGTACCTGTTCGGCTTATCACCGTATGTTTGTATATATATTTTTATCATTTATATATATGAAAAAAAGAAAATATATTTATATGTATATTTTCTTTTTGTTCTACGTAATCTATGTATTTTTAGTGCTTAACGCGCATAATATAAGTTTAGCGACAAAGTAGCTCTCATATTAAACCTTGCTTTTTTTATTTCCTCTTTATTTTAGTGAGCTTTTACACACGGTGCATCACTTATGCTCTAGTCGTATTGTAACAAATATTGCCTCGAATATAAATTTTTTCACACTTGATTTACTAGTTTTCACACTCTCTCTCTCTCTCTCTCTCTCTCTCTCTCTCTCTCTCTCTCTCTCTCTCTCGTTTATTCTGCATTCGTGCTGTAAACAAGCACATACGTACATGCTGCATATTTTACTTTTTTCGCATAGTCAAGTCAGTTGTCTTGAGTTTTCTTTTCATTATTGTTAATTCTTTTGTCACAACCCTCGAAGTATCGTCTTACATTTACATATGGCCAAGTCAAGTTTATTACAAGATTAGTAGTAGTCATTTGGTTCGCCTCGAAGATCGAAAATCTTTTAATTATAAAAAGATTCCTCGGCCATGGAAATTTAGCCAAAGAACTTTGGGTAGTATCGGATGAGTCATATCATCTTTCTTATTGCATATAGTGAGCTCTAATTGTTTAAAGAGCATCACGTGTACGCGCTTGACGTTGCAATCTGAACACTACAACTTGTGGTCGAGGAGCCGAGATTAGTAGGGCCAGAATGCAGGCAGAGGTGGGGGTGGAGGTGGTTGGTAGTGCGTCGCGAGGGTGGGCGCAGCTATAAGGAGGCATGTCGGCGGCGGGGGTAAGGGTGGAGGATGCGGAGGCAAGACCGGGGACAGTGCGAGAGCGGTGGCTGCTGCTGCTGCTGCTGCCGCCTGCTGGGGGCCGCAGAGCGGTGGATGCAGCCCGAGACCGAGCCCAAGCGCGGCCCGCTGGCGCTGCTGATGCTGCTGCTGCTGCTGTTGTTGGTGGTGTTGCTGCTGCTGCTGACGCTGACGCTGCTGACCCAGGGCCTCGCCGTTCTATTCCGAGTCTTGCTGCATTTTGACGTGACCATTGTTAGCCGAAGTGGAGGATGAGCTGCCACCGCTGCTAGGTGGGAAATTGCTGGGTATGGTGCGGGACGACGAAAAACATAACTTCATTATGTACGGAAATTTGCCATCTGTAACTCATGTTGCAATTTCAGCTATTCAATATTCTTTATATTTCAATTTCTATTATAACTTTTTGATCTTTCATCTTAATAATTCCCTTTTGTTTTTTATTCAATGGTATAAAATACTAAATGACAAAATCATTCGGATCTATTTGTTTCTTGAAAAATTTTCGTTTTTCTCTAATTTTATATTTCGATTAAATTACTGTAATTTGCATGAATTTTATATTGTTATGAATTTTTGTATTATATGCAAATTATTTCGAATTAAGTTGCGCAATGAATTATAAGTTAACCATATTTAATTTTCCAAACTATTCAATAATAAATTACAATAACTTTGTAGAAATGATAGTAATATGATAAATTATTAAGCTTAATCAGAATTAGTTGTTTTATGAAGGATATAATGTTAGACCTTTAAGCAACATACATTTCATAATACAAATTACTCTACAATTGATAAATGGTTTACTTACAATTAATAAATATAACACTGATGTTTTTTAAAAAATTCAATGGATATTAAAAATCTTTCATATGATTAATAATACAAGTGTGATTCTGTTATTTATAACATGCAGTGTGCTCTCTCATAACAGAAACGCTATATTTCTTTAGAAAATATATAGACTACTCACTGCTATTTTCGAGGGCGGTGTGGTTGCATTCCATAATAGCTGCTACTGCTACACCTACACCACTAAACTCGATGAGGCCTGAAGAAGATCGTTCGGATTTGAGAGGAAAAAGTTTGATCGTCGTAGGTGGTTCAATGCCGCGTTCTACAAATACACGATTCACTGTTTCCTCAGTAAGATCAGGAGGTGTATTGAAAAAATGAACTATTTTCGAAGGTGGTTGTATTCGATTCTTGTTGGCCATTGCTGGATTTAAAAACCTGAAAATAAATAATACAGTATGAAATACTTAAGTGAATTCTTTTTATACAATAGTAGACATTACTATAACAGAATTAAATATTAGTTAGTCATACGTGGATAATTAGTTGGAAATTTCAACGATACATAAATTGTATTCTGTTTTACATTATTTGATAATTAAAGTATATTTAAGATTATAAAAAAAAAATTAAATAAACTCATGCTCTATATTTCATATGTATTTTTATTCGCTACGAATGTCTTTAAAGCAGCTTTAAAACTTCTTGATAAACATATAGTTTTTATTATAAAATAAAGAATAGCCATTTCTATCTCACTATTTGTATAAAATTATATGCACTAAATATTTTTTTTTAATTAAAATGAAATAAATATTAATTTTATTAAATGCTTATAAATAAAAAAATATAAAATAATTATAATATTATTAATTTACAATTATACTATACAGGTAATAATGAATAAAAATAATATCATAAGGCAATAACTAAGGAATTTCATTAATATTATTAAAATTAAAATAAAATAATTGAGTAAAGGCTTAAGTCAACTTGCTTATTTTTTTTTACATTTTTTTTTTTTTTTTTTTTTTTTTTAATTATGTTAACGTTATAGATTTAACGATATATTACTGTGAAATAATTTATAAAATTATGAATAAATAAATTTGATTAATACTAAGAATTGCATATATCAAGTATATTAAATATTAACATTTTTTAAATATAATTAGCGATAAAAAATAAAATAATAGTTAATTCATCTAACGTGTTTAATAATGAATTAATATATAATATATTAATATATAATGTACCTATTATTTTTGCTGCCAGTAAAATCCTTAAAACTGGGCGTTTTGTCAGGTAGAACGAATGGATTGGTAACGTCAGATAGAAAAGCTTGTTTAGAAAAGCCAAGTTGGAGTTTAGCATCTTGACCGATAGTGACATTGTTGAGGTTCTGGAGACATCGTTCAACGGCTATGCTGTCGCCCATTTGTATCATAGCGCATCCCTCTTTGGTTTTGAGGAACTTGACCTTGGTGACGTTTCCGTATAAACAGAACAGATTGAAAAGTTTATCTGCATTAACTTTGTCAGGTTGTAGTCCGTATACCATCATGACGGAGCCCTGGCTACTAGTGGCCGGAGTTTGACCTAATGCTGGAACGTAGCCCGGTCGAGGTGGTGTAGGATGCAGGGGTTCACGACCCGTGAACTCTGCGGCCGTCTTTAATCCGTAGCGCTCGACATAAGGTTCGGCATATGCTGCTGGACCATTGAAACCATCTTCGTATCTATCGTGGGCTCCAGTGCTAGCTCCAAACTGCACTCCACCAGTAGTAACCGTCGAACCTATAACGAATAAAAATGTAATTTGATTTTCAAACAAATTTAATTTAAAAGTCTTAATATCCATTTCTGCGTATGGACAGATAAAGATGCTATGACTTTCCATAACATTCATTTTTTTTATCTATTATTAATTTATTTATAATTATCAGCATCTAGCAGAACAATTCAGTACGATAATTAAAAAGGGTATACGTTAATTTTCTTAAATAATTCGAAATTTTAAAGTATTTTTGATTATACCCTAATTTTCTCTCCTTTTCCCTTTTCACAATACAACACGACGAATAAATAAATAATATTATGTAAAATAATAATTTTTATAATGTAAGTAGATGCGAAATTAATTATTTATTATAATTTATATTACATTATAATTTATATTATTACCGTTGATGTAATGAATAGTAATATATAATTGAATTTTGTAACAAAAAAAAAAAAAAAAAAAATAATAATAATAATAATAATGAGCTGATTTTTATGTGTGTATATATACAAAGTAAAAATAAATAAATTAATTTTTTAAATTAAACTAAAAATTTTACCTATGAACAAAATTAAAAATTTGAAGGAACTTTAACATTTATATAATAGAATATAATATTCAATCTTTAATTCAATGTAAAAGAAGTAGTAATTCATAATACAGTTATATTAAATGAAAAAATTGTCTACATATTTCAAAAGATCTATATATATATATATATATATATATATATATATTGTGTTTACTTGAATAAAAAAAGGTTATTGATTAAACATAAAATTACTCATCAATTAGCTTATTATTATTTTTTATTATTTTTAATAAAGATATGTAACAAAAAATTGTTTTTGAACAATCATTTAATTAATCTCAATTTTTTAATTTATGACGGTAGCTTTAATTATTTTTACTAATAAATTAATTGAAAATTGTTAACTTTTATTTTTATAAGCTCGTAATTTAATGTTAATTAATAATTATATTAATACAACTATTTAATAGAACATATCTTAATTATTTATAAACTAATTCATTTTGTAAAATGTTCAATTTAAGAATTTTTAGTGATTTAATTTTTTTAGTCAATTTTTTTAGTTAAACTTATTAAGAATTTAAGAAGTTTTAGTGTGTTAATAATAATTTAATTATTTTTCATCAGCAATAAACATGTTAATAATAATCATACTCAAAGACAACTTTAAAATAAATTTATTTTTAAAATGTGAAAATATTTATTTGAATCTTAAACTTTTAAGAATTTAACGGTAAAAATTTGTCTTCGAATAAAATTTATTTCTTCTCTAATGGGAAATCAGAGAACTAATAGGTGACGCTTATGAAACATTTATCTGAATTTTAAATAGTATTAAGTGCAGCTAAAAAATTTTAAATACAATGGTTTACATAATAAAATATAAAGAACATATCCACTTGTGTTGTTTGAGTACATTTATACTAAAATAGGATAACAAATAAATATTGTTGATAGAGTTTTATAAATATTTTCTTTACCATATGGCTGAGGAGCAGCTCCATAACGAGGTTCGGCAAGTAGAGGTGCCGGTCTTCCGTTTCCAGTGGCGTCATTTTTGTGCGCTCCTGCTCCTAATAAGGATAAACAAAATAATTTGTTACTATTTTATTAAAGTCGCAAATGTTTTCTTTACACATTTAATAATTATCTTTTATTTATTCATTAAAATTATTAACTTTTCATTTAACTCTTATTATATATTTATTTTTAGGTAAGGATAAATGTTGAGGATATATGAAAGTAGTTATGTAAGTAGTTATTCGTAGTGTATGTTTAAAAAAAAACATGAAAACAATATATTTTATAATATTTATAATCGCTAATTTTATGTTAAATTATTTTAACATTAATAATTAGTAATGCTTAAATATATCACCATTATAACTGATCGTAAATTTTTCGTACGCTTTTACTTTAAAAGCTCAATAAATTTAGTATTATCTTATAACAATATAAATTATAAATCGCACAAAAATTTTATAGCCTGAAAATACAGTAATATTATCGAGTGTCAAGTTATAAAATAAATTAATAATAATTTTCGTTTCTTTTACCTTTCATATATCAATTTAAAATATTAAAAAATTAAAACAAATATTACGATGCATACAATAATGTCGATGTGTATACATCGATATATAAAATATTTTATTTGTAACCATATTTACATTAAAATAATAGGGTAATAACAATATTGCAACCATTTTTTTAAATATTATGTGCCTTAATATTGTTTCGATATGTATTTAAAGTGTCAAATTATATTGATAATCTGAATGGGGTTTAAAATTGAGAAAGATTATGAAAACGTATCCTTAGTAAATCAATCCAAACTTTTTGTATCAAAATATTGTAATTAAGTTAAGCAATAAGTAAAAGAGCATAAAAATATATATTATTATTAAAGTTTTCAATTGTAATATTTTAAAAGAATTATCAATGCACAATATACGACCTATTAATACAAATTTCTATTCAATTATATTATTAACACATTTATATGTAATGTATATGTATATTATTTTGTAATGGTTTTGATACTTATTTAGCCAATCCCTCGACATTGTAATACAGCATAGTTATATACATATTCCAAACGTACAATAAATCGCATGTAACATAAGTATTTATAAAAAAAGCTAGTAATTAAAATCAATATGATCCTAACATATATTCTACGAATCTTGTTAGCAGTGACAGCTTTGTTTATTTTTATTTTATCCAATGTTAACGGTTTTTACTGATTAAATATTAAATTTGTTTACTTAAATATATTATATTTACAAGTAATTTTACATAAAATAATAGTGTACTTATAATTTTATTTTTTAGGATTAGTTAAATATGTCATCCTATTAATTTAGTGACATAATAATGCAAAGAGAAAAAGTTATTGCCTTGGTAATCTAGTAGAATTCAATTAATCGAGCTATTTTTAACAGCACGTTTAAATGAAAATAAATGTTAGGACGTACTTGTGACGGTATGAATTCTTTATTAAAATTAAAGGGAATTAAATAATACGATTGTGAGGAACAAGATAAGATGGATATTTTCAATTTTGGACTTTCCGGGTTTATTATGGCTGTGTGAATATAGACGAAAAGAATAAGGAAAGCGTTTCTTTTCAGCAGACGAGTATCAATTTATTGAAAAAGAGTTAGGTGGGTAAGTTGGCAGCAATGGACGACGCCAGGTAGCGTGCTGTATCGACCTCGCAGAACGCCGCCACGCAGACTGGTAGTGCGCACCCCCATACACGAACGCTCCCGCCTCTAACCCTTCATTCTTTCCACATTGACTATCTCAACTACATCTTATAACTTGAACTTTTAGAATCAACTTTAAGCACTGCTTTATACTCATACATAGATATAAATTCATAATTCTTTGATAATTGATGAATCATACTAATCGATATGTTCTTTCAAAATGAAAGATCTCAAGATTTGTATTGAAAAATTAATCCATTTTTATATGTAGCTGCCCCTGTTATTTTAATACTCAAGACTGGCTTCTTTTACTTTTTCATTTATAACGTTTAAATGCTTCATATATTAACTATGTTCTTTTATTCGTTTATAGTAAATAAACTAAAAAATCTGAATAAGTTTGTTTCTGACTTGCGAATCAGAATCACAAATTAAGCAACCAAATTTGCTTTCACTTTATTACCATTTATTATGATATATATTAAAATATTATTTATCATGAGATAATAATTTCTATTTATACAAGTTTACTTGTATATATCGAACACAATATTTGGTAGATATTTTTATATTAACCATTCGTATACTCCGCATTTCATATAGTAGCGTATATTATGATAATGGATAAAGGATCGAAGAACTAATTAAAGTTCTATGGAATAATTTAGATAAGATGAGTGGTCAAAGAAAAGAAGAAAAGAAAACAATTCAATAAATATGACATAATTCTAATACGAACATATTCGGCAGTATATGATCCATTGACAAATGAAATAATCTACAATTGATAATTCTTATAGTAACTGCCGTTTAGAAAAGTATATTTTATGAAAGTTTTCAATTACTTATTTTTTTATGAATATGGATATATACATACAAATAACTCAAGCATGCGAAAATACATACTTTTAACGTGTAACAATTATTATATTTTTTGTCAAGTATTATCATTCGTTTGATATACATCTTTATATATATATATATATACATATAAAGATATTATTTACGAATTCTTTCTTATTATATTTTTTTGGTATATTTCAATAATTACATACTAACTGTCTACAGTTAGGATTTCATCAAGCTTACCATTATTATTAATAAAAATTTTGTAATAATTGTATCAAGTGTAATTATTTATAATTTTTTATATATAACATACATGATATAATATAAATCAATTTTATATTTCAAATCATGTAAGAAATAACTAACTAAACTAAATAATGGTGTTTGTAATTTTTTATTTTATTCTTTAATATCTATAAAAAATGTTTTATTTTTTAATTTCTTAGGCAGTTTCCGATTTTCTTATTACATCCAATACTTTTAAATTACCCTATTACAATAATACTCTTAACTATTATTATATAATAGTATTATTATAATAACTTTTACTTTTATTATTATTTTATCAATTGTATTTGATTATTGTCAAAAAATGACTATGAGTAAGTCCTTACAATTGCAAATTTAGCGCATTGTGTAAATCATATGAAAAGGAAACCCAAAGACAGTTGGTTTTTTGCCTTCAATTCTTGGCTCAATCTCATTAGTAGATTTTATCCTTCGTAGTGATGAATTAATATCTTATAGTATAATATGAATAAGAGTAAAATTTTTTTGCTTTTAGAAGCTTTTATATTTAAAACATTACTAAGTGAATAAATGAGATGATGACACAATTTATAACTACCACTGTATTATTATAAGAACTACAGTACATACATCAGATTCATTTTGAAGATATATAATTCCAATCAAAGTACATAGTATATTCCTTTTAGTTACTTGTCCTAATTGAAAACACTTAATAGTAAAAATAAGACATTCTACACAATTTAAAATTCTTAATTTATAAAGTTCTAAACAAATTTGAGAGTGAATTTTAATGTCCAACATTGGGTGATACAATTTTAAAATTTACAAAGTGGCCGAAATATAGAAAAAATAATTTACTCGCAAAGCTATACGAAATTTTACATATGAATTAATTAAAAAAAAAGACAAATACACAGGTATTTATTTTAAATAATTGTTTTTGAGTTATGTATTAAATTACGTGCGTGCTCTATATGGAACATTATAAATATCCATATATATATATATATATATATATATATATATCCAAGGAATATTTTATTTGTAATATTTCATTTTAAAATTGCAATTAATCATCACAATAATTAACTTGGGAATTAAAAAATGACCTTATATATTTATTATTCTATTAGTACATAATATAAAGCCTAGTAAATTTGAATTGATTTAAGGCTCAATTTTATTGAATCATTAATTTTCCACTTCTTGCATTTTTCTTTCAAATATATTACTTTAATGGTGTTCATAAAATATTGATTCAGATATCCTATAAGCTAGGAAGCTCGACATTTCTTACGATTTTGTGAATCGTGCTCCTAGGATTTTGAGACGAACAGCTATTTAGAAGATAATTCTTTTAATACTACTTAGTTGTAATTTTTATGAGTTTTTTTACGGTTTTTTCTCTCTTATAATTTTAATCTATATCTCTTGATTTGCTTGTTACATATATTCTTTACCAATTTCAACCATAATAGAATACAGTTTGTATAATAGCTGTGGCAGATGGCTTGCAACTTAATACTTGTTTGTACTCGATAATAACCTAAACTCTAATTTTGATAAAATAAATTAAATTATCTCATTTGTTATAAGTGAATTTAGATAATGTTACTCTAGTAATTCTCTTACCAACAGAACGAAAAAGTTCTATTGAAAACTTAATGCTGCATTTCTGTGGCCTTCAGTATTGCCATTTAGAGCAGGATATTTCTTATTGTGTAAAGAAGCAACGTAAGTACTTTAATTCTTAGGATTATGACAATTGTGGAGTTGGTCTGACCCTTTGATTATCTAGTAGCCTTACTAAGGTTAAAAATACTTAAGTTAGAAATAATTTTGCTATCAAGTCTATCATAGTAATAGACAAAAAAAATCGACACTTCCAGTTAAGTCGTCTACACTATAAGAATTTATTTGGAGTAGCTTTCAGTGAATATTCTAAAATTGGGTGCTCTCTCAATTCCGTACATAGTAGGGCAAATCATTGAATGAAACAGTAAGATTGGTGGCAAAGTGTAAATATATCTGACGATTAATTCGGGAAGTGTCATATTCCGAAATCATCTTTTATCTACTGATAATAGTTTATCCTCTGCCGAAAGCGCTAGCATGTTCTAAACAGAGAACTATTCATGTTAAAGGAACATTTTCTCTCTAGAAATTTGTTATATAATGATATTTAATAAAAACAAGTGACGATTTTGGAGCTTGTAATATATATGTTTTAATGTGTCATAAATCGAAGTTACATATTG